TACTATGAGGAGTGGGATAAAGCCGGGAGTGCTGACGAAGGCCTCTTCACCACAGACTGCGTCCTTTTATTTATATATACAAGAGTTCTTACATTCTTGTACAGCCACTAGCACGCATAGCATTTCGGGTCCTTAATACTATGTTCCCCTGAATACGATCCCGCTAAATCGTTTAACAACTAGGTACCCATTTTACTGTTGGGTAAACAGAGGCTACAGTTAAGGATTGAACGCCCAGTAAATCCTGCCCTGCCAGGATACGAATCCAGGACAAAGCGCATGCGAAACGCCAGGCGAGTGTCTTACCACTACACCACAGGGACTACTCATTCACTACCACCTGCATCTGCACTGAGAACGAGGTATGGTCGCTTCAGCCACGAGACGATTCGACAAAGCTCGTTTTCTATTTGTTAAAACCGTATACATTGTTATGCAAGGTTGTATTTGCTTAGGTTAGGCTGTATTGCGCTCGGTTATTTTGTAACAAGAGGACAGTATATAATAAAACAATATGAACAGCATAACGACTGTCTGGCGAGCTAACCAGGGGACAGATGAACTCTGGTCAAGGGTGACGTGGTCACTAGGTTGTCAGATACGATGCCGTCATGATACTCCACAGGGATTACCCTCTCCACATCAAATGCAAGCCGAAGACCTCAAGTTCAGCTGGATAGGAGAGCTGACATAAAAAGGTCAAAACAGTCAGAGAACTGTTCTCTGATAGTTCTCAGGGGTGTAGTAGTTCTCTGAACAGGGGTGTAGAGTGGAACTGTGTTTGAGGGCTCTAGGGAAGAACATCGTCTCAAGGTTACGTGTGAACAACCGGTAGTAGTAAGTACGGCTCTCTTGTGCCCAGCAACTTGTCATTCAATTATCGTTGCCTCTGTTAGGGAACATAGTTAGGAAGTGTCTTTTTATGTGTTAAATAAAGTCATATTTTCAAATGTCATTCTGGTGTGTGTGTTAATGGTTCCTGTCTTAGTGATATTGGGCTTACCGTCCCCTTTGACCCCCTAGTGACCTAGTGCCCTTAATTATCCAGTACTCCTCCCCATTCAGTCCCTCAGTGAGGTGTGTCAGTACTAAGAGTGTCCTGTCTTGCTCCCGTGTATTCTGTAGTACACCCCGAGTGGTTTCAGGAGTATTGGAGTGACAAGCCAGGATCCTTTTACCATTTCTTTGTTCCTTACACCTGTTCTGGGAGGATATTATACCATCTACAAGTCCTACGGTCCTCTAGCTCTCTCCGGCCCCCTGTCCGGTAACACAGGGTGCTGGCAGCCTTATTTCTTTTTTGGTAAGTCTCTCACTCTCTCCCTCTTGCTCGCTTTCTCTCCCTAGTTTTCTCTCTCCCTCGCTCTCTCTCACTCTCTACTCCCTTAAGTTGCCTACGCAGATCTCAGTCTAAATTGAGTAATTATTTAGGTCCTCGTACTCACCTAATTGTACTTGCGGGGGTTGAGCTCTGGCTCTTTGGGCCCGCCTCTCAACTGTCAATCAATTGGTGTACTGATTCCTGAGCCTACTGGGCTCTATCAAATCTACATTTGAAACTGTGTATGGAGTCTGCCTCCACCACATCACTGCCTAACGCATTCCATCTGTTAACTACTCTGACACTGAAAAAGTTCTTTCTAACGTCCCTGTGGCTCATTTTGGGTACTCAGCCTGTGTCGCCTTGTGCGTGTACCACCCGTGTTAAATCCTTGTCTACCCTGTCAAATCCCCCTGGGAATTTTGCATGTGGTGATCATGTCTCCTCGAGCTCTTCTGTCTTCCTGCGACGTGAGGTGCAGTTCACTCAGCCTTTCCTCGTAACTCATGCATCTCAGTTCTGGGACTAGCCTAGTAGCATACCTCTAAACATTTGCCAGCTTCGTCTTGTGCTTGACAAGGTACTGGCTCCATTCTGGGGCCGCATACTCCAGGATTGGTCTTACATACGTGGTATATAAGGTTCTGAAAGATTCCTTACACAGGTTTCTAAAGCCTGTTCTGATGTTAGCCAGTCTTGCATACGCTGCATATGTTATTCTTTTGATGTGGGCTTCAGGAGACAGGTTTGGCGTGATATCAACTCCTAGATCTTTCACTTTGTCCGTTTCATGAAGGACTTCATCTCCAATTCGGTATCCAGTGTCTGGCGTACTATTCCATCTGCCTAGTTTCATTATCTTACATTTACTTAGGTTGAACTTTAGCAACATTTGTTGGACCATACCTTCAGTTTGTTCAGGTCATCTTGTAACCTCATACCATCTTCCTGTCGTATGATGGACCGAGTGTTAATATATTACAAGAACGACAGAGCAGCGGTTATTACATTAGTGATAGCGGCTTCCGTCATTTCAGAGGTAGCAGCAGTGTTCTTATCGGGCATTACAAGGTTACGAGAACGGATACAAGCTCTCCAACAAACTCACATTAAACATAAAAAAGACCTTCTACATTTTGTTTGGAAGTAAATCAACAAACCAAATTCCCCTTCAGATAGACCATAATAGATAGATTTCCATTTCATTAAAAGTGATGGAAAGTGCCTTGGCCTATACATAGACAAGAGACTTAACTTTAGCACCCCACATACAACACATAACCAAAAAAGTATCAGAAACAGTTAGTATACTCTCTAAAATCAGATATTGTTCCCTACTCTGCTCCCCTTTCACTGTACTACTCTCTAATCTATCTCTATCTGACATACGGTATCTGTGCATGGGGTTCAACCACTGCCAATTACCTCAAGCCCGCCATCACCCAACACCAAGCAGCCCTGGTGTTGGTTAACAGTCTGCCACCAGAATTATAACAAACTCTGTCCTCAGACAACACACAGCGTCTCTGTTTAAACTCCTAAATACACTAAAGTTAATACTTTAGCGTGTTAATAATGCTATTATCGTTAATACTATTATAATGTTTTATAATGTTTATAATTATAATGTTTTATAATTATAATGTATAATAGTTCCGGTCAGATGCCCCCTTAAATTAAGCAATTGACATATGTGGAGAGCTAGTGTCACAATTGATATGTTTATCACCGCCCCCCCATCCACTTGATCCGCCATCTTTGTCAAATGCCTCCTCAACACCGAGACTTAAATCAGAAATAATTAAAAAAAATAGGCTTCTTGCCTCTCTCTAAGAATAATAAAATAAATCTTGGATACTTCTACTGTTACAAAAATATAATATGACTCGTGACAAGCAGGAAGAAGGGGCGTCAGGCGACGGTAACCGTAAGAAAAAACATCTCTTGTTTTATGTTCTACATTGTTGCTTGCTGAGCTTGAAGCTGATGCCTCTTGTATGCTGATTGATGAAGATTAAGCCACCCAAAAGGTGGCACGGGCATGAATAGCCCGTAAGTGGTGGCCCTTTTGAGCCATTACCAGTATCAAGAGCTGATACTGGAGATCTGTGGTGGTGCGACTGCACCCTGCGTGACGGGAGATGTCTCCCGTCTCTTGTATGCGTCACATCTCACCTTTTAAAGAAGATTGATTGATGAGGATTAAGCTATCGAAGAGGTGGCACGGGCATGAATAGCCCGTAATTTCAAAGTGATCTGAATCAATATATCCTCCAAAGGAAAATAAGCTTTAAATCTCTAAATATGCTTATCATACACTAACTCCACACATTTTCTTGTGTTACTTACACGTGCAAAATACTATTCCTAAATTCTAATCGTTTTGAAACTCTTCTTTGATAGATGAATAGATGTACAAGAACCCATGAACATCATAGGTTAGCATCTTAAAAGCACTATTTACCTGAATTTACCTAAGGGTCACTGTCTTACATGTGGCCTCGGCTATCGAAGAGGTGGCACGGGCATGAATAGCCCGTAATTTCAAAGTGATCTGAATCAATATATCCTCCAAAGGAAAATAAGCTTTAAATCTCTAAATATGCTTATCATACACTAACTCCACACATTTTCTTGTGTTACTTACACGTGCAAAATACTATTCCTAAATTCTAATCGTTTTGAAACTCTTCTTTGATAGATGAATAGATGTACAAGAACCCATGAACATCATAGGTTAGCATCTTAAAAGCACTATTTACCTGAATTTACCTAAGGGTCACTGTCTTACATGTGGCCTCGGCGAGGACAGTAAGCCGGCGGCTTGTCAAAAGTGCCCCAATTTGACCTTCTGTAGTTGATTGTTCAAAAGTGAACTACTTGTATATGTTTAACAGATTTCTAACAGTGTCCATGGTGCATTTTTAAAAGCATACAATCACCTTCTGTGGTTGATTGTTCAATAAATCACTGAATTATATGTTCAACAGATCTCTAACCCTGTCCATGGAGGAGGTTTTAGTTTAGTTCATTTATTATGCACCCCATAATAAAATGTATATATGCTGGTTAGCATTGTAAATGTGTTGCCACGTCTGTGGTAGAAAAAAAATGTATATGTGAGTGTTACCAGTGCCTTCAGACTAAATAACATGAGATAGTTTGAGCTCTGTAACTAGTTCATGCACTCACGAACATTAGAAGATAAATTATCTATTGGAAGATAAATTATTTATTTATATTCGTGCTCTACCCAGAGTTTGCTAGTGCAGACTAGTAGACTAGACTCACATCTCATGCTTTTCTTGATTGCACATGTGACTAATCATTCTGTAAGAGGGGATTGTAGATCAACTTATAGTTAGCTTTTGACGAATACTCTGTAATCTTTCATACATAATTGGGAAGTAAGACTGTATCTAACCTTAATAATAGTAATACAAAAACGAGTATACTTGGCATTAAGAAAACAGCTTCACTTGGCGCTAAGTGATTGGTGGATATGTTTAACACACATTGAACGGTAACATGGAAATATTGTATACAGTAACATTATATAATATTTCTTGGCACTGCTTTTAATATTTATTTAATGGAATTACTTATAATACGCATCATTTGCATTAGATTTTCGCAAATATTGAGAGATTGAGCCTGTGCAGTACGAGAATTTGGGCGGCGACGGCGCCTGGTGTTTACATGCGGCATGTAGGAGGTGGTGGAGTTGACACTTACACACACTCGCTCTCTCATACTCGTATTTACGTCTTTGGGGGCCAAGATGAAGAGTTTCTTCCTGCTTGTGTTGATTTTAAGCGTCTCTGTTGGCCAAGATGATGTAGAGCCTAGGATAACAATAGATCCAGACGGAGGTAAGCGTTGGGAAGTACGACTTGACTTGTATAGTGTGTGAGTTAGTTTACTTAATTCGTTTAGTCGGTGGGACAGGTAGTCAGTGTATGCATAAAAGTTAGGCATATATCGAGGTCCCTTCTTACAGTCGAACTACTGTATTGACGTGCCCACATCCTTCCCGAAGCCGCAACCCCACAACAGTTGACTAACTCCCGGGTACCTTCTACATAGTCTCCCCGGCTTGGCGCCTTCTTTTAAGTAAATAAATATATAGTTTATATAGCTAAAAGTACATATTGTTATAAGCAGAATGTTGGATTTCTAGATAGAGCTAGTATATACTATGCCTAAAGCAACTAATATGCACAACATTTTGGGCAGGATGTGATGTTTTGATAATTACTTGTTTACTGCTAGATGAACAGAGACATTAGGTGAAAGGAAATGTGTCCAGTCACTTCTCCCAGCCGGAATTCGAACCCAGGTTTACCGATAGCGAGTTGAGGGTGTACCCAGCCTAATACTAATCGGCCTCACTAAACACTTAACAAGCTCCATTTTTGTCAATTCATGTGGCATCACAAAAATTAGTTCATTTATTATTTACATGAATTTAGCTGAGGGCTATTGTTTGAGGATTTTTTCTATTGGGATTTTGAATTGGAATTGATGGCATTTTACAGTTTTAGCAGGTAGGTGTCGCATTTATAACCCCATGGGTGGCTTGAGTTTTAAGATGCAGATAAGTCACAATAATGTGATTGAAGATATGATGACCAAACCACACACCAGAAGATGAGATGACGTTTCGGTCCGTCCTGGACCATTATAAAGTAGATTATAAATAATTCACATTTAAAACTATCATAAAGATGTTCTAGTATTTGCCTAAGGGCCACCACCTATCTAGTGGCTTTAGTGGGGGCAGGAAGCTGCTGGCAAAAGTTCCACCCCACCCCCCTATTTTCCTGACTATTTTATCCAATTGGATTTTTAAGTTCAGTACAGTAATATCTTGGCATTTATGGCTTCTGTAAGTGGGGCAGTTTTATGGGGTTAAAACTCTATGGGTGAAAAAGCATTTCCAGTTTCTGAAGTAGTTGGAGGATAGGAATCTAGCTAGACTACTTATTTAAAATTTAAAATGTACATCCAAGGGGAACAGCTTCTAGGTTAATAAGCCACTGCTGTATATAGGAAAGGAGATGCTTTTTCACCCATAGGGTTATAAACCCATGGAGCTGCCTACCCACTGAAACTGTACATACCAAGACATTACTCAGGTATGTACAGGCAGATGTTTATTATGCAGGATGGTTTTTCATTAATATTTTATCCTGTAAATTAGTACAGTACAGTATTACACATTTCTTATCCATAATGTCCAGTATTTAAGCCCAGTCCATGGGTCGTGTAGTGCAGTCAAATCACACCTGAAAGGTTCTGGGTTCAGTTCCTGCAGTAGCACGACACGATTTTGGACAGTTTTCTTTTGCCTAATACCTCCATTTACTTAGCACTAAATAGGTACTTGGAGTTAGACAATTGCTGTAGGTTGCATCATGAGAAGGTCCCTAGTTGGCCCAGGAGGACCTCGATAAAATTAAGGGGGTTTCTGTCTGTGAACATGGGGCACCATATAGCTGTGTTATACCTGATAAATGCTAAGCCTATTTAAGTGCTATTCATTTAAGTAGTCAAATTAAGGTTTCAAAGAATAGTTTCTTTGCAGAGAACCGTTTTATTTATAATGTGATATTCATTTGCAGAGATACCAGTCATTGAGGGCACTGGTGGTAACATCGACATTGTTGAGGAAGATGATGTTTTGGTGCTGACTAGAGATAACTTTCTTCATGTGGTTAACCCAAAGGATGCAATACTAGTTGAATTTTATGCCCCATGGTAAGTCGATGCACAACTTTTGAATGTCGGTGAAATTCCATAATTTTCATTTGCTTTAAAGTGTCTTGCCATCCTGCTGTTAAGAAGTGTTCTTGTCTCACTCTTCCTCTGGGCCCTGCTCATCCGTGACTGTTTCTTGATTCTGAAATTTCTCTTTAAAAGTTATTCTCTTGCCTAAGCTTTCCCTGAATGTTACCAACTGTGTCTACCCTAAAGCAAAATCTTTTCTTTACTCTAAACCTGTTTTTCTTTACTCTAAACCTGTTTTTCTTTACTCAAACCCATTTTCAATACTAAGAACCGTGCTTTGCTTTCCTTTCATTTCTAAACTTCTAAATCATGTCAATACTTTCTCTTTATTATAAAACTTGCTTTTCAATAAATTAACATTATAGTAATCAATAAATATAACATTATAGCAGCATTAGAAGCAGTAGTAGTATAACTACTGCTTCTAATGCTGCTTGTTTAATAAATTTCCTGATTGTCTTGTTTTTAATGCTTTAAAACTGACTGACTACTTTTAATGATAGTGTTGACAAAATCACATGTTAAATATACTGACATGAACAGTGTAAGTGTTTTCTTCTTTCATACTGCATTAGGAAATTCAGTCATATAGATTGGTATTCTTCCTAAATAATTTCTCCATTCTCTGTACTCTCCACAGTCAGTCATGTTGAATTGGCTCTTGTACGAGGCCACTGTGTTTTTTTCTCTGTTGACACTTGCCTTTCCAATTATGTAGTTAAATGCTATACTGTATTTTCTGTGACGAGAGGCAGGATGTGTGGTCAAAGGAATACCAATCCTGTTGAATGAGTGAGGTGAATGAGAAGTTTACTTGATATTTCCTTGGCCCAGAGAGGTGTTGCAGAGTTCTGGAGTCATACATTTTAAGTGTATGGGTAAATGCTGTTAAAGTCCCAATAGGTTTTAACATCCTATGTAATGTTTAGTACTAGTGGAAATGTCCATGCTTGAGGAGAACGGTGAGTCACTCACACATGGTGGGCCTGCATCCTGCTGCCATTTCACCTCGTGTTCATTTACACTAATCATGTGTACCTGTTGGCTTCAGTTAGGAATCTATAGTGTGTAGTAGGTTATTCATGTACCCATCACCTGTGAGGGTATGTTCATTCTTTAGTCTTGAGTAGGAGTACAAGGTACTCAAATCTTGTGCATGTGGCTAGTTTGGGCAGGCCTACCACCAGACATGTTAGAGAAACATAGGTTTAGATAGTGTAATTTGTTGGTACCGATTCATTTCTTTGTTGAACTAATAATTAAAAGTCCTGTTACTTCGCTTTTCTAAGTAAATGAATGGGGGGTTGAGAGATTTAGGAGAAATAGGTTAGTAGTAAAATAACTAGGCCTAAATGTCCGAACGCATCTCGTCTGTACACAGGCCCGCATGCATTCAAAGCGCGCGTTTTTTGATTCGGTTGAACGTTTGGAGAAATGTTCTAGTGATCTCTTGAGAGCAGTGGCTCCCTTAAGTTAAGTTGGTCTTTTGTCAGTATAACTAAGATAGTTTAGGTTTTATTCATTTGTTACAGTGGAGTGTATTAGCAATTATTGTTGGTTTACTGTTACTATGATTGTGTTACTTGACTTTACCCTCAACACTGGACAAGTCACGTGTTAGTATCTTAGGTGTATGACTGACTGTTGATTATTGTATGTGGTGATCTGTAAATACACTGGTGAAATTTTAGTTCACATTTAAATTGTTCTTTCCCGGTTTCTAGTGTCAGAATACTGAGTGGGAGCGGTTAGTAGGTTACTAAACTAATTCATGAGCCGTATTTTGATGACACATAATATATAGGATCCTGGAAGTGTAATGGGTGTTGTGAACAAATACTCTGTTCAGTACCCCTTAAAGTTTAAAGGAGAAATTAAGAGTACAGTACTATGGGAATGTAAATTGTGCATTTTTCTATAATTAGTATAAGGAAGGGCACTTGTTTTGGCCACATGGCCATTCAGCTAGTAAGTATTAGAATATTTAGATCATAACTGGTATTTTTAACCAGTTTTTATGACTGTTCCTACCCAGGTCCATACATTTTCAGTTTGCAACATTCATTTGCCTCAAAAAAATGTGAAAATTAAAAGTATTTGCATGGTACATTTTTTCCACTTTCATTGTATCTGTAATTTTTCCAACACTTAGGTGTGGTCATTGTAAGCAACTTGCTCCTGAATATGCAGCAGCAGCAAAGGAGTTGAAAGAGGAAGGGATAAGAATAGGTAAAGTGGATGCCACCAAAGAGCAAGAGCTGGCCAAGGAGTACTTGGTGTCTGGTTATCCAACTATTAAGCTCTTCAAAAAGGGTAATCCTGTTGAAGATTACAGTGGTGCAAGAACTGCCGAAGGTAAATCACAAATTTGTTTTATGTATTATGTGAATTTATGGTGGATAATTAAAATGCTTTGAGTGGAATATTCGTGTATATCTCTGAGATTTACTTTCTTTTCTGCTGAAGATGTCTATAACCATTTTTTGTATCTTATATACTGTACCAGATATTTTGTAATTTTGGACATACTGGTATTGTACTCTACATTAAACAAATTGGCTATTTTCTCGCAGCTCTGGTGGATTATATGCGTATGCATGCTGACCCAAACTACGTTCCTCCTCCCTCTGCTGTCACGGTCCTCACTGCTGCTAACTTTTCAAAAACTGTAAAGTCCTCGGACCTGATTCTTGTAGAGTTTTATGCTCCTTGGTGTCGACACTGCAAAGCTGTAAGTTAATTGCTTTTTGTAAATTTGTATAACCTGGAAATGACTTTGAAAATTAATTTGGCAAGAGTAGCTGAAAGTGTTATTTCACAACTTTAAAGTCTAATAAGTATATGGTGAGTCTATGTAGTATGTATAAGCTGTATAATAGTTTGCAAATTTAATTTGAAGAACTTTACACTGTTGGTTATACACTGGAATTTCTATTCAATGACCCTCAATTTGAAGAATCTCCTGTTAGGACACACTTTCCATGCCAGATTTACTCCTGATTCAACGAACAAGTGGAGGGGGATGTGTGGATTTGATTAGGATGTTGGGACCAAGTGGGATTAGGATGTGGGACCTGACAGATGGAGGCAACTTTATGAGAAATAATTGGGGCCTTGGGAAAACCAGAGTATATTTATAAACAAATTATCTTTTTTTTTTATTTCCAGTTGTAGAGGTTTTTGATCAGTAAAATACGAGCCTATTTTACTTTGAAAATGAGATTGAGGCTTGGGCATGGGAAATTTGATAATGTGGTTATCAATGTGGTTATGTTTGTAGATGAACTTGGCATTATAAGAAAAGGTTGGAGCCTTGAGGAAAGCTATTGAGAATATTAAAAACCCAAATTCTATGGTGGTTTTAATTTTATAATAATAATAATTTATTTGGAAGAAGGTACAATGGGTTGGCGAGATTTGAGTTAAAGGTTTTTGTTCACTCGGGTATGGCCCTGCTACCTTTTGAAAATGAGTTTAGAGGCTGGGAACATGAGAAATGGGCGAGATGTGGTTCAATTTTGTTTGGTAGTTGTCTATTATAGGTTAAAATTAAAATGCAGACGCGTTTTCCCATGCCGACATGGTGTGCAAAATGCATCCTGGAGGCATCTCCAGTGGCAATGAATTGGGTTTGGTCCCATACGGTTCATTGAATCGAGGTTGTACTGTACAGATATTTGGATTAAAGGGTATAACAAACGAGATATAAGTAGTTTTTTTTAAATAGGTAAACACTAAATAGATCTCGTTTCAGGTAAGTTTCAAAGGTTTAGATTTGAGAGGCTTGGTTAAATACCGATTTGGAAATGGTTGTTTTGTGGAACATATTGCCAGGCAACGTCGATGCAGGATTGTTGAACTCCTTAATGTGTAGGTTAGACATACTATGAGTTGAATTTGATATAAGCTGCCTCATTTTGGCTAATAGACCTTCTGCAGTTTCCTTTATAATGTTTTGAATCGTAGCCTTTATTCTACTTGTGCAGTTTTGGTGTATTTATTACCCTTTGGATTGAAGTTTCTTGTCTTCCCTGCCCTGGGGTTTGGTGAGCTTAAGGTTGTACTGTGTGGGTTGTGATTGTCTTTTTAAGGTGTCTACATTATTAATATGTTCATTATTTTGGCTCATTACCTCTTATGTGTTGAGTGATGCTTGCCATCTAAAAATAGTAATGTACTGTAACCTATCTTTGGCTATAGGCATAAATGGTTATATTTTATTTTCCCTGTCTTTCGTACCTTTGGCTTGATTTCACACTAGAATAGTCATTGTATACAGATACTGTATATATTTTGTGGATATGGAAAAATGTTTGACATTGCAATGACTCAAATTGGACCCCAGATGCTTCGCAGTGTTGTTCATTTCCACGATTGTGAAGCTTTTGTGCTGGAGGCTTTTGATTTCTACTGGAACCAGTGAGAAGATTTCTCATATCTGATGCTGTTGCTAGCTTTTTTTCAAGCCTAAAAACTTCATGCTGCTTTGCTCTTCCAATTTTTCTTGTAGCTGGTTCTACTTTACTCTTGTCAGGCATTACTCCGTGTTCTGCATTTCTTGGCTCTTCACACATTGGCAGCTCATGCTCGACACAATTGCTATTTAGAATCTTAACATTATGGGAATATTAAAATAAACCAGTCATCTATTTGGTAAAATACTGTTCAATTACTGGTCAAGGTGCTACCTCTAAAGGTAATCAGATTCATTAATTAATCTTGGGTTAGTTGGGGGACAACGAAGGGTGTCTGTCCCTCTTTCCTTTATTATTCAATCATCTACACATTACTTAATATTCTCTAGAATATAATATAATATAATATAATATAATATTGACCGCTCACAAGCTTGTACGTCACATTGTTGTTGGTTTCCATCTATTACGTGCCATTTACTAACAGATCCATGCACCATGTACCGAGCCTGATACAAATTCATTAAGTTTCCACTCCTATTGCATCTTGATCTTGTTTAAAAAAAATTCTTCTTTTCTAAGCAATACTTTGGCAATGTTGTAGTGGATTATTTAGACAGTCTGCATGCATATCTCTAGGTGTAGCATCAAAATAACAAAAAATTGTTTTTAGATTCCTATTATACTAGCATTTGGCTGGAAGCAGGAGTGTGTACAAATGTCACAGATATGGTTTCAGTACTATGTTGTACAGTCATGTTGACTTCATATTCTTCCCTTGAATTTTCTTGTGAGGTTTGTGCTCTTCTCTGGCCTTCTGGCTTTCATTTCCTTTGACAGACATATACGCATCTCTGCCCTAGATCCCTTGTTTTTTCTTATTAGAAGTTGGTTTAGTGAGAAGCCCCATCTTGGTTTGGGCTTTGCTGTCATTTTCTCCTGTGTGGTCTTGGCTTTTTTTATGTATTGAAATATATTACAGCTTGAACCTGAGTACGAGGCTGCAGCACAAGATCTTCAAGCAAACAACATTCCCCTGGCTAAGATTGATGGAACACAGGAAAAGGAAGTAGCTGATGAATATGGAGTGTCTGGATATCCAACTTTGTTGGTTTGTATCACACTGACAGTGATGAAATAGCATTGTGAATAATAAACAATATACTAGGCTAAACATAATCATATTTGAGATACAGTAGTATGCTATTTTTACACTTTGGGTAAAGTTTTGCATGGACTACAAATACACCTGTAGAATTTAGTGTGTAACAACTTAATTCTCTCAGGTATTTCGCAATGGAAGACGATTTGAATATAAGGGTAAGCGTGATCATTCTGGAATTGTTGAATATATGAAGGAACAAGCAAAATTGCCTTCAAGAGAGGCAATGACTCCACTAGAGGCCCAGAATAACTTTGCAAGGAAGGAAGCAAATGTAATTGCCTATTTTACAAAAAAGAATGATATGTTTGATGAATATATTGGAGCTGCAAATGAATTAAGAGGTAAAGTAAGCTTGTAAATGTCAATTTTGTTATTTTTATAATGCTTCATTATCATTCCCGACTATAAACTTTCTTCGTCATGACATTTGGAGAAACTGCAGTTTTATTAAAAGTTGTGATAAAATTGGTAAAAATTTCAGGAATTTTGAGATGGTTGACACATTTTTAGCATCATTGGAATGCTAAAGTGTTAATTAACACTGTACCTGTAGTGATGACCATGGGAGCTCAAAGTAAGAGGTTGCATGGGTTGCTTATTTGAATGCATAGAACTAGTACAGATAGCACAAAAGACTGAAAAGTAAGTATTTTTGGACAGTGGAGGGTACCATATAATGAATTGAAGTACTCTATGGAGAAAATTGAGCAGGTATAATTGGAATATTTTTTAAATGCTGTTAAAACCCATTTATACAAAGTACTGTAAAACATTTATTAATGGTGTAATTTGTAACTGGATATTAATGGAAGAGTATACTGGAGTGTGCAATAGGAGTACTGTAGATGGAATTTGTGAGACACTATCAACAACGAATGTGGACCAAAGTAAAAGAAATAATGATGGAAATTGTATGTGAAATGGGGAAAATCGTAGAAATATTTGTTTGACTCGATTGAAGACCTGGGATCTGTTACTGACATTCGGTAGCAATTTTTAGTGTAAAAGGAGTTTAGAGTACAAGAAGTCAATGAAGGAAGGTTGTTGGTACATTGACAAAATTATGATGGGTGGATAAGTGGGAAGAATAAATGATAGGTGGCTAGGAGGCTACATGGGAAAACAAATGCTGGTGTGATTGGAGAAAGCTAAAATAGACAAATTAAGATTTGTGTTAGAAGGATAGTTATGAATGAAAATGTGAATGAAATGTGTGGAGCGCAAAAATTTATAACACTTAAAAATTAACGACTTTTAAATACCATAGTTTTATAAAGGTGAATGAATGGACGGACGAGGACTATACTTGTTTAGTTGTACTCGCCTAGTTGTGCTTGTGGGGGTTGACCTTCGGCTCTTTGGCAATGGTAGTCTGATGAGGGTGGTGGTGGTTGTAAATAATGCCTTCCTAACCCATTTCAAACTTTCGTGAGGTGCGTGATCATACTTTATATTTTCATTGTACATCTTATTGTCAAAAAATCTATTTAAGCTGCTGAATACAGTATTTAAGTTGCATTGTCTTAAAAGATTTTTCTTCTTCCAATTAGGCAAATTGTCATTCTTCCATACTTTTGATGAAGTAACTTCTGAACATTTCAAACTGAAGCCCAACACCATTACTATTCTGATGCCAGAGATCTATTTCTCAAAGTATGAGGACAATGTCTCCAAATATACTAAGGTATGAGAAAAATTTCCTTACTGGGTTAATTTTTTGGGTGCAAACGGATATTGATGTCTTGCATTTTAAATGAAAATTTTTCCATCATTTCCTTGGAGTGTTAAGTTTAGTAACAACTGCATTTATATTATACTGTACATTAAAAAAAATACCTTATTGTAATCCTAAGATATTATTTGAAATTATGTTGAGTATGTTCTTTTTAAGAAGCTAACATTAAAAATTTGAAGAAATTGCAGTACTGTACTGTGTATCTACAGCAGTTTGACAATTAGTAATACGTTTCAAGTATTCACATTAAGCAGACTACTTGCTGGAAAAATGACCAATACAGTACTTCATCTTATAACTTTCTGTATATTAACAGAGTTTAAAATAAATCAAAATTAAAATTTAATGTTGAGTAGGTTATCATTTACATGTGCACCTACGATATGTAGCAGGTGCTTGACTCGGCCGAAGGAAAGTTTTTACAAAGTAAACTGTGAATAGACTTCTTGCAACATCTGAATATATAGTACGAGTATTAGTTGTAGGAAGTTTATTTTAACATGCTCCTATTTCCTGAGCCATTATCTTGCAAGGAGGATTATTTTTTTATGGTCTGCAGTATTTATCCATAAATATGTAGATTCCTAATGTTACAATGCACAGGAAAGTTTATCCACATAAATGAGAAAAGTATTCCATGGTTTTATAAATGCAAGGCTTTGTAGGAATATCTTGAAATGGTTTTCCTAAGGCAATGTTAAATTTTTGACAGGCAACTGGAACATACAAGGAAATTGCTGCTTGGATTGCTAAGAAAAGTGTTCCTCTGGTTGGACAACGGACAAGAAGTAACATGGAATTCAAATATGCCACTCGACCTCTTGTGGTGGTGTATTATGATGTAAACTTTACTCACCAGTATGTGGCAGGCAAGTATTGAACCAGGAGCATGTTTAGTTTAGTTCATTTATTATGCACCCCATTCTCATCTTGTGAGCAGTAGTGGAAAGGGTTACAAAGGCACATCATGGGCTCGGGGACTGAACCCCACAATTCATTTAGCTAAGCAAGTTACAATCTTGATGAACTAGTTACAAAATTCAATAGACATCGTCACATCATCATCATCACTGGGTTTGAGATTGACCACAAATACAGTTTCTAAATTAAGCAACTGACATGAGGAGAGCTAGTGTCACAATTGTTATGTTTGTCCTGCACACCGCCCCCTCCCATCCAGTGGGCAGCAGTGGATACGTTAGTCACTTAGTTCCTACCTACAGTTCCAGAGATGTGTAAATACGTTATTCAAAATGATCTGCTACCAGAAATCTTGGCCAAATATCCCCCAGGAGCATGGAGCTAATATTTGTTTAGCAAGAATACTATTAAGAGAAAGGTGATACTTGCATAATTTATGACCCCACCCACCCCCTCCACTTTTCTCTCCATTTTATGTACATATAGAAAAATAGGTACATAATTTATGCAAACAGCCTAGTTTGTAAAATAACACATACAGGTACAGTATTTGCATATTTTTCAAGATTTTAATTAAGATTACACTTGTGGTATACAGTAGTGTGAAAAACGTACAGTAAGTATATAATAAAATTTACCAAACAAATTACTTTTATAAAATGACAAAGCATCCCTTGATAACAAGGTTATACATAGATTTTACCTAGAATTTATACTGTTTGTGAAGAATATAACTAAGGGGTAAAAATATGCTTTCAGACACCCAATTCATTCGTAACAAGATACTTCCTGTGGCTGATAAGAATAGAGACATCCTCTTTGCCATTTCCAATGAAGAAGAATTTGAAGAAGAGATAAAAAGTCTTGGCTTGGAAGACTCTGGAGAGTCTGTTAATGTTGCAGGTTTTGTAAACAATTTCAAGTAAGTACATTTTTTCTAGTATACTATGTTAAAGTTTGGAAAATAACCACTTCCCCTTCCCCCAGTGAATGTCTTTGGCCTAGGAAAGTATTTTCTTATTTTCACTGTATTTGAATGAGATTATTAAATTCAGAAATGTTAACGTTTTAAACTTTTCCCAAATATTTTGAAGGTATCGGTGCAACCTTAATATTCCATACCAATTGGGGCCAAACCCAATACTGTATAAACTTTAATACCAAGGTTTCCTGGTTTTATTTATTTATTTGCTATTTAATTACAAATGTTTGGAAATTGTTCTTGCTGAAAATGATAGACCATACACATTAGATAAGGTGCAAAACATAAACCGGTATGCAGTATGAAATAATTTGAATTATATCTAAAGGCCTTATTTATGTTTGAATGCATATGGAAAGCACCATTCCAAGGTGTGCTAGCAAGTCATTCTAGGCAATTTTTAAGCAACACATTTTGGGGTAACATTTTGTCTGCAACAGATGGCAATGACTATTGATTTGTGTCTTGTCTGTATTGGCAGAAGGGTTAATGAGAAATGGGTAATATAATATAGACAGGAAAGGGAAAGAAAGACAGGATGGGAAGAAGGGTCAGAGAGGTAGTGAAGGTTTGTTTGGTGATAAGAAGTTTCCCAAGAAGCCTCGGCTATGACAGCCCACCGATGGTAAGCTCTCTGGAGGGAGCAAGATATTAGAGTTGAAGAGAAAAATCATTAATTACCCTATCCTAGATTTTATGAAAACATAAAGTTGGATCAGATTAACCAGGTGACTAGGAAGTATTTACAAAATTATTTAATTAAATCAAATACTGTTGAGAACCTGTGACTACACACACAAATCACAATAACGTGATACATCAAATGAACAAATCCACAAGGGCCGTGATGAGGATTCTAACCTATGTCCGAGAGCATCCCAAAAGCTGCTTTAATCGACTGGGATGCTCAAAGACGTGGGTTCGTATCCTCATCACGGAACTTGTGGATTTGTTCATTTAACCTGTGACTAGTTTTGACAGGAAAATTCAAATCTGAAAAATCCAGGTTTTAGGTTTGTTTTTCATCAAATAGGCAATTTTTCATGGCATGCACAACCTTGTTGGGCTTTTATTTTTCGTTGAAAATTTTTTGGGTAAAAGAAAATTAAAATGCCAGATTAATTTATTCTCCGGAAGCATAAATTGTAATTTTTTTAACAGAACTATAGAATTGTATGGTCTTTCCAATGATATCATCAAATTAACTGCAGTAAAATATGTAACTGAAATAGATCTAATTTACTTTCATGAAGTTTTTGGTAACCATGGTTATGCTTTAAGGCTAAATTTCAAATAGAATGATTTTTTCCTGATTTATAAGTTGACTCGGGGCTCTTAAAATTGAAGTAGGTCTTTATATATAAAATGGACTTCCTTTACAAAGTTTATATTTATTTATATGCCAATTTACAGATACCCAATGGAACCTGATGATGATTTCAGCTCTGAAGTTCTTAGTGATTTTGTTGAAGAACTTAAAACTGGTTTGTCTCACTTTTTTTCATATTAGATGTAGCATATGATTCATAATTAAAACAAAGTTTTAAAATTAATAATGCAGCACTAAATCTCTTGTCTGATACTTTATTTTCATATAGGAATTCTCCTGCACTGTTGGCCAAATGCACTGATACGTTACCTCTAGGCTACCTCTTGATGCAAATATAAATTATAAATTCTATATTTCAGGGAAGCTAACTCCTTACCTGAAGTCTCAACCGGTTCCCAAGCGGCAAGACAGTCCAGTACGTGTAGTTGTAGCCAAGAGTTTTGAAGAGGAAGTGATGCTAACGAAGAAGGATGTGCTCATTGAGTTTTATGCTCCATGGTGTGGCCACTGTAAGAACCTGGAGCCAGCATACAAAAAATTAGCTAAACAGTTGTCAAAGACTAATCCAGATGTTGTGGTTGCGAAGATGGACGCTACGGCTAATGATGTACATCCTTTGTTCAAAGTGGAAGGATTTCCAACTATCTACTATCTGAAAGCAATCGAGAAGGATAATCCCATCCCATTCAGTGGGGAAAGATCCTTAAAAAAGCTGAAGGTAAGAAAAGATGATACCTATGGGTGGTAGTGGAAAGGGTTACAGAGGCACATAACGGGTTCGGACTGAATCCCAAAATTCAATTAGCTAAGCACATCATCATTAGCTAGTTACAAAATTTCATGTATATTGTCACATCATAAAATGGTTTGAGACCAATCCCAAGTACAGTCTCTTAAGCAACTTACATATGTGGTGAGCTAGTGTCATCATTTGTTTATCCTGAACAATACTGTACCTCCAGCCAGCGGGCAGCTGTAGATAAGTTGCAATCGCCCATGGTTACTACTTCGTTAGCAAACTGAGAATATTTGGCTAACATTTCTGGCCTTAGATAATTTTGAATGAAATATTTAAACATTTCTTATTACTGTACCTAATCTTTAGCAGAAAGGCAGAATTTTGCTTGCCAAAATGTATTTGTTGCCTCAAATGGCCTTACAGATTTTGCAGCCAACCAAGTCATTCAAACGTGTCCCAGCCACCAGAAGTCTGCCCCCTATTCATTCATAATGCTATTTAATAGCTAACATAATTAGCTGGCTACAGCCCATAAAACAATACATTCATTGAAATGTCATTTCTGTGGCCTTCCTATACTGTAATAAAAAGTTAAAAATGTTCTTGGGTGTATTGTACATTGGCCCACACAAGGCCGGGGAGCCGGTGGCTGAGCGGACAGCACGATGGATTTGTGATCCTGTGGTCCCGGGTTCGATCCCAGGCGCCGGCGAGAAACAATGGGCAGAGTTTCTTTCACCCTATGCCCCTGTTACCTAGCAGTAAAATAGGTACCTGGGTGTTAGTCAGCTGTCACGGGCTGCTTCCTGGGGGTGGAGGCCTGGTCGAGAACCGGGCCGCGGGGACACTAAAGCCCCGAAATCATCTCAAGATAACCTCAAGAAGGCTAGCTCTGAACACTTAATGGAATAATTTTTTCCCTAACTATCAATACTTTGTCAAATATCGGTATGATTTATAGCGAGTTACTCCTTTTTCTTTTATATTTGCATACCCTGATGTCTAAGACCTCTTTACCGTGACATGCATAGTGCATTACAGTCCACGTATAGCCACATTATCTCCAGAATTTTTGACAATTTCTTTTCTTATGACAAGCTTTTTGAAACTATGCTCCAGGAGTACTTGTACCCTTTATTTGTGCCTGCAACAAAAGCTTCTTGGTTGGTTTGCCAATCGGTTAAAATGTTACTATTTGTAACCTATAGTATGCCTATGTCTATAGTAACCTATAGACTTTGATAATGCTTGAAAAATTCTTTGTATATTAATACATTTGTTAAAAATGAATTACACACACTGGTGTTTGATGTCATTGCTGGTATTCTTATATTTATGGTCTAATTTTGGGGGTTTTGTTTTTCTCTTGCATCTCTTATTTCATGAACTGTAATAGATCTCTACATTGTAGGGGTGGCCCTGTGATAAATTGCTCAAAGGTATTCAGTTAGTTTGGCTTTCTCATGGATGAGCAAGTTATAAAACTTGCTCATTAATAGGCAACACATTGTTTATTCTGGAACTTACCATCCTTGTTCAGAATATCCTGATGACACTAGGTGCATTTCAGTTGTCCAGGTGGTAATAGGTTTAGTGCTTCCCTAAATATCTTTAATACATACGTGGTTCAGATGTGGGAATGGTTGTCACATTATGGAAGTAGTTAGCAAACATTTATATGCAGTACAGTAATATGAATGTGGAAAAAAAATTATATTGTTGGAGTAATAATTCTTGTAGGGGACAGGAACCCTGTACATAGGCTTATTGAAGTTCCACTGGGCAAACTACCGACATTTCCCATGATGCAGCCCACAATAATTGCCTAACCAGCTGGGTGCTCATTTTATTAGTAGAAAAATCCACATAAGGTAAAAAGTGTCCAACAATTTGACCCGCTTGAGGATTGAACCGCGTCTCTTGCCTGTAAGCAGAGGTCATAGATTGTGCTACAAAGGCTCACAGTTAAGCAGATTGTAGAAGAGTACAAAGTGGTTACACACTAGGTTTAACTACATACCATTGCTTAATGCAAATCTTCATTGGCCAAAGTTGGCAAAAGGCCAGGGGCCTGATTCATGAAAGCTACCCAAGTACTTACGAACCTGTACATCTTTCCTCAATCTTTGACGGCTTTGTTTACATTTATTAAACAGTTTACAAGTATGAAAACTTCCTAATCAACTGTAGTTAGTTATAAACAGCCTCCTGGTGCTTTGGATCTCGTTAACTGTTTGATAATTGTAAACAAAGCGGCCAAAGATTGAGAAAAGATGTACAGATTCATAGGTGCTTGCGTAACTGCTTCGTGAATCTGGCCCATGGTCTTTTAACTCTGGGGTTCTTCTGGGGTTATCCATACCCTGTATGGGGTATGGGAACCGGTAATTGGAGTATGGGTCTCGGAACAATTACAAAAATAGATTAGAAATAATCAGTCATAAACAGTACTGTACCTCGATTCCATATTTTTATTGCACAAAATTTGCAGAAATCGTGACAGTTGTAGCTACCGTGTACATTTGTGATTTGCTTTATGTATAAATGATATAATACTCATAATTTTCTTTCAGCTGTTCATTTCCTAGGTATATATATATATAGTAAAACTGGCATTCTGCCAGTAAAACTGCCAGTAAAACTGCCAGTAGTTTAGTACTGGCATGCCTGTAGTAAACTACTGGCATGTTTTTGAAGTTGTACTCATACCTAATAGGACTGGTGGTGATTGTTATGAGTCTGCTGAAGGGGGTAAGGGGACTTGCTCGCTAATTCATTGACAGATTTGTAATTTTATAAAGGTTAAGAATCCATGCTTTAATTTCAAGATTTACTTATTGTAATACAATATTTCCATGAACAACAAAGCCCATCAGACATTCTGCCAATTCTATTATTTGTTAGTGTTAACACTTCATGTTCATTAGTGCAGTTTAAGCTATTGGATATGTGACTTATTTGACTTTGATTTTGGATATTGACTGTAATTTTTTTTTTTTTTTTTCAGGAGTTTGTTGCACAAGAAGCCACCATATTTGAAAAAGATCAATCCAGAGATGAATTATAGATGGAGGATGCATTCCAATAAGTGTCCATTAAATTCCTGAACAGATTTTGGATCAAAATTTCTAAAAGTAATGTAAGAGTATGACAGTTACTAGGGGTGAGGATCTGATAATCCAAAATTGGGAATTTACTTGCTGTTGAAGGTCTGATAATTTAGTTGAATTAACTTTATTGTATGTATTTGTAATAGATGTAAGTACTACATAAAGAATTTACTTGTTTAATTTTGATGATTACTAGTTTCACTGAAGTTACATGTATGTGTCACTTGACTTATGGTTTCAACCAAACATGATTCTTTAACATCGTGTAGTGTTGAAATATTTTGATATGTATCACCATTGTACATAATTAATAACAACTATTCTTAGTTAATGAACACTGTACACTAAACTTTTTTTTTTTTTTCTTGAGAGGTATATAGGCATGGGTAAAGTGAATGCTAGATATACAAAACTTGTATGTACGTCAGGTGTTGAAGTAAAAAGCATTCCTGGCATACGTGTGTCTGGACTCTTCCCTTTAAGGAGCATCACTCGGCCTTTCTAGTGGTTTATAGTAGGCAGGAAAGTGTAACTATTTCTAGAGTGTATATCACGAGGGCTTGGGGCATTTTTTTTTTTTACACACCATTGGAAAGGAGGGGGAATACATTCATCGTTTATCAAAATATAACTGAGACGGGCCATGCACTCTTACACTGCACCTTAAAAACTGTAGTGTTCAGTAATTTGTCTTTTGTAATTAGACTACACCTAATATTTAACACTTTTTGTGACAATGCAGCCACATGGCTGTTGGCGAATTTCAGGTTTGACTGCACACACACACACCTGTGTCGAACTTCACAGAACACATGTCGCCTTGGTCATTTGAACCCTAGTTTGCTCTCTGGACCATTTCTGTAGTGGCCAATGGAACTCTGTACTTTATTTAAAAGGGTACAGATATTTAGTGCATTCCATGTATAGAATATTGACTTTAACCCTGTATTGTTAAATTGGTTGAGATTTTTTCTAATTTTATAAAATAAAAGGTATAAGTTAATTAGTGTATTTAATCAACAAAGTATATCCTTGTTGCATGCAGTTAACCCATTGTATCGTATTGCATGTTATTTGATAAAATAATCAATGAATCTAATTCCTTTGATATTGCTAATTTTGTTTTTCTGCTCTTGGCATTATAACGTATTTATAACATACTCCTTTACTTCTGTGTATTTATAACACTTTACTTTTGTTATTTCACCATCTATAACACCATCCACCTGGCTATCCCCACTGATACCACCACCAAGCAAGTTGTTACAAATTATGACTTGACTAAAAGTTAAACTACTTAATGCTACCACCACTTTCGCCTTTGATGAACGTAAGTACAGTGACCGGCGGCAAAGGATACCAGCCATGAAAGAGTTAAAGATGTGAGTTAAAGATGGGAAAGGGGGGGGGGGAGACCACAGTCGACTCTCTTCACCGGCAACTCTTGATGAAGGAATAACGGGAACGAATGGACACTTCAGATGGGCAGCTTAGTATTATATATTTAATTAAGTTCAATACAAAACTCCTAATCTATCTACCCTATCAAGTCAATAAAATTATCAACACTTGGGATATTTAGAATATAAGGGACCAGTACTCAAAGATACAGCAGTGATGAAGCTTCTGTGTAGACACCAGATTCAGTCTCCCTCCTCCTGTGATGCCCAATACTAGACCCCAGACTCCTGTCTGGTCTGAGAGACAGCACGTACTCCCCCACTACCTCTCATGATGAGCGTTTTTTGTCCGTCGATCCCCCAATTTTCTGTTGAATTAACGGACTTGAATCTGAATAGCCTTCCAACCTTTGAAACTACCTGAGGTGAGGTTTCTGCGACCTTACCTCACCTCCCTGTGAAAGTCTCGTAATTGTTATTCCCCCACCCCCCAAATCTCTAAGTCACCTCAACAACTGTTATAGCATCCTCAAATGATGAAGTGTTTGAATATCGATACAAATGATGCTATGTACCCTTTTGGACTTATTGCAATTTTTTATTCTCGTTCTTGTAGTTGGTTAATTGTAAGAAGTGTTAATTGTGCCTTCTATATTTGTATCGACTACAGAGCAGTAAAGGCTATATGGCTCCATTAATCTATTTGTGCTAGAATTGCTTAATAATAATAATAATATTGTTTGGCTTTATTAATGAAAGTAGTGTACTCCCATCTGCTGATAAAGTATTTAGACTACAAAGTTACATTTTCCAGTTTTTCTTTGGCACCTAAGATGGCCCTTGACACATCTGTAGAGCAGCTAGTCTTGTAGGTTTGGTGGGGCACTTTAATAATTACAGTATACCAATTAACTTTGTGAAACTTTAGGCATGCATGAATTTTTCAGAGAAGAAAACAGAAAATTCCAACCTAGGAGTTGTATCCATAATAAAATATTTATAATAGGGTAGTGGTAATGTGTATTGGAAAAATTTGTTGTGTAGTCCTGTTGCCAGCCAGTCTTGTAACCAGTAGGGCTTAAAAGGTTGCTACAGTACTAACAAAATCATTGCATGTATATTTTAATTTGTCTAGTACAGTATCTATTTTTCTTTTTCTTTTTTTTCTTTTTTTTTTAACTAGGAGGATAAAGGAGTGTGTGGCCTCACTCTCCATTCCCACCCCAATCTGGTAGTCTGGGCAAATTTGTCCCATTTTGCCTAAATTATGATAATACTGTAGATATAATGCAATTAGTAGCAGCTTTGGTACCTCAACCCGATTAGGGTGCTTGGTTAACTCGGCATTATTGGTTTTGATGTAAGTGACTAACTTCAACATTTTCAATCACATCTATGAAATCTAACCCTAAATCATTCCCCACTTTCTCATTGGGAGACTTCTGCCTCATCTAGGGGGTAAATGGGCACTGCACGGGTCATTGGATATTTGCATAATACTTGCAATGGTTATTGGATAGGATGCAACTAGGCACCTCTATTATATTTCAAGGTACTATGTCATGAGCTTTCACTAGGTCACTACCAATTTACCTCCGGTAAAAATGTACTGATTATAGACCACCAAATTTATCAGAATGTCAGCTGTACTGTGATACAAAAGCCAAAAATGGGAGGAGGGAAGAGAACAATTCTTCCAAAAACCACGTAAGATACATGCATTCACGACTGGCAGGACAATGGGATGAAAATCTAAGGGCAAAGTGCCCATTGAACCAGGTTTTGTTAGGAAACGAACAACCATGTTGAACCAGGACACTGCGACAGCTCCAATGTTCCAGATCTAGTTATACATATATGTATGTAATAAAACTAAGGTACAGGCAGGACCATCTTGACAGTATTGTAGGTCCTGGGCAAAGCAATGCACTGGAGCCCCCCCATATCCAGATGATGGGGCCCCCATACCCAGATGATGAGCCCCACATACCCAGTACTGCCCAACTGCTGCAGTACAGAATTACTCTCGGTTATGCACAAATTATTTATATTGTAAATATTTGAAAAGGTAATTGAATCCCAGGCCTTTCCATGGGGAGATGGAATGATTATCCACACTGCCAAGAGATATCTCGTGGACATATAACAGCATGGGGCCCCCAGAATACTGGGAACCTGGGTAACTGCCCAGTGTGCCCATACATAAAAACAACTGGGTACAGGGAAGGAGATAGCAGAGCATATCTCTGTTTACCGTTGGAGTTCGCTGTTGTGGAGTGATGAACGAATAGAGTAGACTGAAGTTCAGAAAAATTGGAAGTACTGTATTGTATGAGTACTAAAGCTTGGTTCTTAAAGTTCAAGCAGCTTGCCAATTCATGACTGCCACCATCTTGGTAATAAGTTGCCACAAAGATAAAATGCAGATGGTTTTTTATTGGAAATTGATTTCCCCACAATATTTGCTAATTTTCACAATGATCAAGTAAAGAAAGGTGTTAGCAGTAAGATCTCCATCTCTTGCTTAGCAGAATTAATAACCCTGCAAGCCAGAGTACTGGCTGTCATAGTAAAGGATTCTGTTGTGTTAAAGAAGTTAACTTCTTTCATGCTGCATGCTTACTGTAGAGTGGTCAGTGCATGCACAATCTGAGTTCCACCAGAAAATGCACCTTCTTATGCTGCAAGAGGCATAACACAGGGTGGAGTGGAGCGCAGCATCGGGTAAAGTTAGTTGCAAGCAGTCCCCGTGGCGCAGTGGTAAAACACTCGCCCAGTACTTCATGAGCACTTAGGACTTGGTTCTGGCTGGGGAAGATTGACTGGGTGCCAATCCTTAACTGTAGCTGTAGCAATCCTTAACTGTAGGGGGGGGGGAGGTACAGTGTTGATGCAAGAGTCTACAAGAGTTGACTTGTCAGTATTCAGTATTTAAAGGGAACAAGGACGAAGAAAGAATAGTTTTTAAAGATGGCCATGGTTCCTGCAAGGTCCTGGAAAGACTCATTAAGAGATTTGTTGAGCACTAAGAAAAGTGTGTTTTGTCTCTAAGAATTAACATGGCTTTATTTCAGGCAAATCATGCAACAATTACAGTACTTTACATTAAAATTCTATGATCAAATGGCAATGATAAAACAGGAGAGAAAAGGGCGGGCTGACTGTGTGTTTTGACTAAAAGATAGCAATTAATACTGTCCCACACAAAAGGCATCTAATCAATTTGTTTTGCCGGGAACATGCAATGTATATACACCTGTACATGTTAGTCTTATATTGAGATCCCCCCATAAAGTTGAACTATGGACACTCCCCAGGATGCCCCCCCCCCCACCAAGCTGACTTAACTTCTTGGTACACCTAGTTTATGCCCGAAACGCTTTGCGTAATAGTGGCTTTAGGCATTGTATGTACTAGCTCTATCTATAAGTCCACCAATCTTTGTAAAAATTTCTTGTATGTATGTACCTTACCTAAATAAACATTTATTTATTTATTTATTTAGTTACTGCTAGGTGAACAGAGGTATTAGGTGATAGGAAATGCACCCAACCATTTCTGTCATGCTTGGGATTTGAATCCAGAATTCCTGATTGTGAGTTGAGAATGATCCCGACTGTATTACTGGGTCGAAAGTAGTGTAAAAGTATTTAGCCGTCAATGCTTGTATGTTTGCAGGTCCCATGTGAACTAAGAGACAAACTCATGCTTGGATAAAATTATTTATTTATATATAATATGGTTAAATTAATTAAGTGTAAATTATACACCATATACAATATAAAGTATAAGTAAATTAACTGTAAACTATAACTGATAATAATAAGGTGTATAATTAATGTGAATAACAGTGTATAGCTTTCATGTAAAATAAAGAAGTTAAAAGTAAATTAACTGTGAATAAATAGTAATATTGTAAAACTGATGAAGTTAATGATGACCACAAACTATAACCGAGTTAACAGTAATTGGCGACTGCTGGTAACAAGCCTAATTAATGCAATGACCAATAACAACTGAGTACTGCGGGTGTGGGGGGGGAAGGTCGTCTGGCATAGCACAGCATTCGGTTGTTCGGTCATTACATTAATTATGCAGTCGTTCCCAATCCTTTCCCTTGAGTGGATCTCTTCTCTGAGGATAGGTTATAATGCCATACTAAGTGTAACATGACAGTTTATTTTTATTTATAAGAGTAAATTTTTATACAGCATAATACAAACATTCTTTTTATTAACAATGGAATTATACACATCATAGCTTTAAACATCTTGATAAATAATGTATATTTGTATAGTAAAGTTACAGGTATGAGTAAGCAGCATAATGCTGTATTTTAATATTGAACAATTACAAAAAAATGTATGAAGGTTCGAAAACAAGCCAAATAATTAGGTCTTGAATATACTTTTATTGTCTCTAAACCTCAGCATATATATACAATATTCAAAACGTAAATGCAGAAGTATACAATAAATGTAGTTTGAACTGATATATTTATGGCTCCATACAGAAGAAAAAGGCAGATGGAAGAAAATGCAGAATAAAACCAGTGAAGAGCAGGGGTGCCATAGGCACAATCAGAGAACACTGTATAAACATC